TCTCTCTCTCTCTCTCTCTCTCTGTTTCTCTCTCTCTCTCTCTCTCGCTCGCTCTCTCTCTCTCACGCGCGACTAAGGAAGACCCATCTTGTCCAGTAGTTATCCAAACTATACTCATTAAATAAGATAAAGGCTGTATGTGAAATATAATGTAGTATACACTAACAAAATAAAGTATTCCTTTTAGTGTGTTACATAAACAGTACATTTTAATACCATAGTATAACCACCACCTGATAGCATCACTGTCCCATACGTATTTTTTTTTGTATTTGTGGTACTTTTTTGTATAGTAAACGAGATTCTGTCCATGCTTGTTTAACCACTATGGCAAGGTTTTTGGGCAAGATATCATGATAATTTTTTGAACATGCTTTTAGACATATACAATAGTAACTTTATCTTTTTTTTTTTATTGATATGGATCAATGCATCGATCAAATTATATGATGTTTCAATGCAACATGTAAAAAAAAATGATAGATGATTTTAAGATTTAAGGGGTTATTTTCATTATTTATTTTTCGACTTCATGTAAAAAAAACTACTGTATTTTAACAGTATTTATACATACACATTTATTTTAATATTTTAATTATTTATTATTTTACACCTTACCGTAATTGGCCACCATTAAAGTAAATATAGGCTAAATCAAGCATCATTATTACTATTGCTTAGTATTACTTTTATGTAAAATTACGTATTAATTTATTTATAGTATACATTATTTTTAATGAAGATTTCTGTTTCTAAAGCTGTGCATATGTAAATACACAAGTACGCAATACAACCATAGTGTGCAACATATCCAAATGCACAAAGCGTGTATGTAAAAATTAAGTGCAATTATTTATTTTCCCCTATTATTTACAAATAAATAAATAAAGTTTCTTTTGTTGGGGATTTCCCAGTTGGGACACAAGATTAGCATTTTTTAGAGACTCAGTTAAATGTTCAATCAAATCATAATCATATCATGTGATTCGTATTGATAGCTAAGAGAATCAATGTCAGTTCATATTGTGATATTCATGTCACAACATTATGATATCATGGTTTCACATGGTAATACTTGGGTACTTTGATTTGATACTATGGTACCGAAATTCATGTGCATAATGGTCTAAAAGTTTTTCACAAAACAAATTTTGTTAGGCTTTAGATGATAAAACAATATATATACTGTATATTTTAAATATTGAAAAAAAAATGTTTGCGAGGAACTGACTTAAAACTAAAAATCACTAAAACACCAGTTGATTATAAGACATTGAACAAAAATGAAGAACAGTGAAGTCAGTGAACAGAAAAGATCCTGCAGCATCAGTACTGTTATATAATCCAATGACATTTAAATTCATTTAATCGATGCATAGATGGACCAAAAAAGTGAACACACACAAACACTGGCTTTGTGTTCTGTACTCAATGAGCAGAAAGCATGAATTCATTCCATCTTGTGGGAATTCCCTAATTCATGAGCTGGTTATTCTCTTGTTGTCTGTACTAGTTAGAGTGTGAAACACAGATGTCCTTCAGGGCCGCTGCGTCACGAGGATGTTATCGCACGATCCGATCAGAAAGGGACAAACGACACACTGCCTCTTCCTCAAACACGCTGTCTCGGGTGCCCTTGACTCAGTATTGATCAGAGCAGACAAAACACAGTGTCAGCCTCTCTCTCACACACACACACACACACACACACACACACACACACCGCACTGTCACTCCTGCATTCAGTTTGTCCTTATTTCCCGTGTGTGTTTGCATGATGGATAATTGCATCATGATTTAGGTTGCCAGCATCTGGTAAACTCCTTTCCATTCATTTTCTGCTCCATGCCGTGTGTGTTTGTAATCATACATTTACAAGTTCGAAAGATTTCAAACAAAGTAAACCTCTTTTGTCCATTTTGAAAGCAGTAGTGGACTCTGAAGAGGCTGACAATAATAATATAAAATCGCTAGAATATTGTCACCGTACATTTGTCTGTTACATTTCATATTCTTGTATTTGAGTTTAGACAGGGAATTTGAAAATATATACATTTTAAATGCGTAATTTAAATTAAAGTAATTTAAAGGCATACACTATATTAATATTAAACGGTTGTATTGACAGTGTGCTTACATATACACAACTTTAGAAACATAAATATTAATTAAAATTAGTATTATAAAATAATTATTTTTGAAGCAACATGCTTGATTTAGCTTAATGCTTTTTCTTTTTTTTTCTTAATGGTGGCCAATTACAGTGAGATGTAAACTTAGAAATAATTAAAAATGTATGTAATGTATTAAATAAATTATATTAAATACATTGACTTTGAAATTGGCTAAATCAAGCATCATTACTATTGCTTATGCTTCAAATATTTGTTCATTTATTTATGATATACACTAAATAGAAAGCATTCATAAAACGTGCATGTAAATATATAGCAATGAGCAAATCATTTATTCATTCTAATTAATATATTATTATAATTTTGCATCTTACCATAAGTAATTAGGCACTAAAAAACGAAGAAGAAAAAAATCAAGCATCATACTTCAAATATTTATGATATACACTAATAAAAAGGATTCATAAATGTCTATGTACATGTTAAGTGCAAATACAAATACTAATGAGATTTTCCTCAATTTTTTAGCACCTAATTACTTAGAGTACGAATTAATATCACAGATATGGATCAGATATTATGACAGACCATTTTGGTCTTTAGGGTGTATTTGATTAATACTAATTTTGTAGTCAATAAAAACTATTGCCGGCTTGCCTTTGCAGCTTTCATGAGGCTAGTTTTACACTGAGTTGAGAAGAATTGATTGGCTGGATATAAGAATGCATTCATACTGACATGTAAACCGGAGATGTTTGGGCGTTGAGACTGAATAAAAATGCACTGAAATTCAAGAGAATATGACTACAGATATGTGGCATGTAAGGAGAGACAGAGATGCAGGGAAAATGTATTGGCAATGACCTAAAGTGGTAGAAAGCTGCATATTTGTATTGACCCCTCATGTAAATTCAGCTGTAGTTATAGGTGGAATTAATGATAATTAATGGTCACCTTATATGGAGGGCAACCTCTGAATTGCTATCACTGTATTCATCTTCGCATTTAAATAAACACTGACCATTGATTTTACAATAAATCAACCAAAACAAAACTAATAAAAGAAAATAATTAAATTCTTAAATGAATAATTAAATGAATGTTATTCATTTTAATAAAAACAATATTCCAAAATGTTAAATAAAACAAAACAAAAATATAACATAAAAATAAATTAATTTAAATTAAATTAAAATATAAAATAAAATAATTAAATTAATAATATAAACAGTGTAAAATAAAATATAAAGTAAACTAAAACATGAATACAATTAAATATAAAATAACATAAAATAGGTATTACTATTGTACTGTGTCAAAAACACGATAGTACCATCATACTTCATGTAAATGAAATAAATACTGAATAAATGATGAATATGGTACAGAACATTCCATACCACGTGACATTGTATATTGTGCTCTCTCACATTTATGTGAACAGATCTCTTAAAGGGATAGTTCACCCAAAAATGAAAATTTGATGTTTATCTGCTTAGCCCCAGGGCATCCAAGATGTAGG